CCCCGCCCCCCCAGCCCACAAACACAAGGGGGGCCCTCTTTCCCCTTTTTTCCCCTCCATAGTGGGGCCCTTCCTCCGCCCCCCCCCCTAAAATTAAATAACCCCCCCCTTGAGGGGGGGTTTGGGCCCGCCCTTTTTGGGGTTTTTCCCCAACCCAAAAAAGGTCACCTCCGCTTTTTTAAACAGCGGGGGCTGGGGGGGGGGCCCCATTTTTGGCCCCCAAAACGGGAGGGGTGGGTTGGGTCCCGATTTTTCAAGGGAGTGGCGGGCGGGGGGGGGGGGTCTTCCCTTTGGGCCTTCCCGTTGTTTTTGGCCCTTTGCCCTCGGGGGGGGGGGGGGGGGGGGGATCTGTTGGTTGGGGTGGCACGACGCTGAAAAACATAAAAACAAGGTCTGCATCCCCGTACTGTACCGAAACACCCACAAATGTCCCGCTCCCTGATTGGAGGCTACGAATTCAACCCTGTAGGTCGGCAAAGCGCTAAGGCCAGTACCAGTAGGCTTCACAAGAGGCGGAGACCTCTCGGGCGCTAAAAAGCGCGTACGAGAGAACTCGAAGTGGGTTCCGGACGCTGCTCATCACGCAGACAGCAGTACTACCGGATGCCGCAACAATATCGTCTTTCATACAAGATTTCGCGCTTGTACGATCAAACCCAGGTGCTCATTCGATTCCTGCGCGGCTGGGCGCACAACAGCTAGGCATAGGAGAAAACACGCAAGACGGGAGGTTGCGAAACAAAAACGGAAACACCATGGTACAATGGTGTTGGACCGTAGTTCCGGTCCAAAGGCGGAATCTAGGGTTGGCCCGTTTGAAAGCGAGATAGGTGACACAAAACAACAAAATATTACGAGGAGGCATCCCGTCGACCCCGCATCCTCCCACCTCGCCCTTGAGCTCGATCTGGACGATCTTCGTACGGGACGAAAGCCGACCGAACGGCTTGAGCTTAAACCTGAACGCTTGGCCCCAAGACGGTTTCTGGGCGGATCGTAGAAAAGCCACGGCCAACGGGATAAAGGGGCAGCGGCACGTGGGAGTTGGCCTTGCAGTAAGTCTCCGTGTACGTTGGCCGGGATGAGGGCATGGCAAGGACACGCCGATGTGAACCAATGCGAGGCTCACACATGGGTAGGGCGGAAAGGGGGGCGGGGAGACGAATGAGGGATTCGCACGGCTAGGACTCCGACGGATTGGACACGACAAAACCCCCGACAGGGAGTGTATCTTGCTGGGTACCGTCGGTGCATAGATAGGTGGGAGGACGGTCGTGCAAACTGGGAATTTCAATGTACAGCAGGCGTCGTGGAAAAGGGGGGCGGTTTCACGACCGCAGCAGCACGTCTTTTTGGCCTGGCGTACCGAGGCGAGAAGAGGCTACGCTGAGACCGTTCGGAAAGGGTGAGTCTCACGAAAACACGTGGCACCGTTGGAAGGATAAGGCACAGGTGTTGTGTTGAGGAAAGAGCTAACTTCTCCCGCTTATTACAACCCCACACTGGTGCCACCGCTGCCAGTACCTGCATGAAAAAACAGGCGTGGTTGGGAATGCACTACATGCCATGCAACTCGACGAGACCCATGTATGTGTACGACCATGTGATGGGAGAGCCAAGGGAACAACGGCGGCGAGGGGACTTACGTTTGGTTTGAACTTTTCGACAGAAACGTCCAGGAAGTGTTCCCTTCCTTCAAGAGTGGGTCTCAGCAGGGTGCTCGCTGGTCCGCGCCGAAAAAAGGGGGAGGGGCAACGGGCGAAGGCGGGTACAGCGATACGTTCACCCGAGCAAACAAGGCGCGAGAGTGACGGGAGTGGTGAGGAATTAAGCTACGCCAAGGTTGCTTAGAAGAAACCATCCCGTTCGCCAATTCGATCCCCGGTTGGCACGGTTCTCTTTACCCTGCGTCGTGCCGTTCCAAGCGAATACATCCTACCCGGGGATACACCAAATGCCGTGGCGTCGCATATCTCAAGTCGTAGAAAAAGGAACTTTGGCAGAAACCCCGAGGAATGTTGTAGGCCCCCAAAACTCGAAGACGACAACAAGAATGTAGCCCCGTAGTAATGGTTTGACAATATTCTCGTCCATAGAGTCAACCAACGAGCCCAAAAAACACTGGCGAGCCTCCCTTTCTTTCCGACCCACATGCCCGAGACTTGTGAGACATCCAACCGGCCCTTTCATGCTTCCGAGCAGCAGTACGATCGAGATATCGGAAACATCCCTACCCCCTAGGTGCCTTTAGTTTCAAATTGGGAGGTATGCCGTCCTTTTCATAGTGGTTCCACAGCAGCTGTTCACGGTACGTTCCGACAAGGTAAAACCCATTATCCCGTGCACGCTATATTAGCTGTCGTGAGCTACAAGCGCGCTATCCGACCTTCCCTCCGCTCATCCCACCCGACCGAGCCCCCCCACCCCCCAACCCCCACCTAAAATGTGCCTCATCGTTACCTCGTGGAAACCCCGGGGGGTTCGGCCGCTTGGGCTTGCTCTTCCGTTTGCTCTTGCGACCGCTCTCCCCGGCTTCCAGCAGGCCGTTCCAAAACACCTCCCTATGATTGCCGTTCGAGACATGCGTTGGGATTCCGGCGCAGAAAATACAGCAAGCAAGAAGTTACGGCAGCGAGCGAACCGGAGGACTAGGGGTGCAACAAGAGAGCCGGCAGGCTTTCTTTGCAAGCATTAAGTGCCTCTTCCCGTCTCGGGGTACTCGAAGTAACTTCGTCTACTCCGCGAGCCCCTATATAGATGGACGGACAACCGCTCCAGCAAAAAAAACAGAGCCCAACGCTGCGAGACCCTCTCCAGCCGTCACTGTCGCACCTGCGCATGAGAGAATCCCGGGGCGATCTCGAGCTCGTCGACGACCCGCACACGCCATGCGGCGCACCCCGGCGTTGCTGCAGCCCTTCCCTGGCAAGACCGCTGATGCCGCCTAGCCCGACGCTGTGGTCGGCTTTGCTTTTCGCGACCCCCATGACCATCGGCATCGCGTAGGTTGTCCCATGATGTGACGACAATCGGCTAGGACTCGGTCGCAGCTGCAGCAGCAGATGGAAAGTGTTCCCAAGGGGAGGGCGAAATCGAGCAGGGCAGAGGATGCACCAAGTTAGGGGCAAGGCTCCTACCCGAGCAAAAGGTGCGCGGCGAGCCTCGTCGATTGCCGCGCCCTGTGTACGTCGTTCTGGGCGAAATGAATCAAGTGTGCTTTTTATTGTGCTATCGTGAAGGAAACAACAAATAATAGTGCAAGGAATTTTGGCGGCATATGCCGCCACGCGGAGTGAAGCGAGTCCCGAGATGAATGATAAATGACGCTCAGATTGTCTCTCCGTTGAGAAGAAACCTCTAGAGGCTCGTTGCCCTTTCGAGGGTATCTGCACCGACAGAAGCGGCACTTTGAGAATTTCCCCACATTCTTTCAGTCAACGTCTCTCCGCCCGCTCAGCGGAAACTAGGCCAACCGGTCAGCGAACGTCGACAGGTAGCTCGAACGTTTCGGCCGATTATTGTGGGTCAACCCTCTCGCAACAGCCGTGGCTCCGCACTGGTTGGGCACCAATCTACGGAAATATGCACACGACTATGGCACTGGTCTAGATACCCTCTGTGGACCCGATCGGAGCCCAGCACTCTACGGAGGAGAGGGTTAGAGTATGCGTGCACTGGGCGAAAACTGGGCCGACGATGTATGGTGCACCCCTACTGTAATGCTGAACTCCTTTAGATGTTATACAGATTTTCCGTCGTGTCGTTTTTTCAACAGCCCAGCGGCCTCTTCTGATAGTGCCCTCTCCCTTGAGCCTGGAAACTGCAGGACACCGTAGGAAGTCTTGCGTTTTTGCAAGACACCGTAGAAAGTCTTGCGTTTTAGTCACGTATTCAATTATACCATCACAACCCAAGAATTACACCCGTCGATGTTGGATACGGGAAGTACCAGCTCACAAGGATCGCGGAAAGCAGAGGGTTCGTCAATCTGTCCTGGTTATTACACTGGTTTACATGACAAAAAAAAAAAAAAAAAGACGGAGAAAACATGACAGCACCGAGACCCGTTCGTCTTGGTCTCGCGGATGATGTGTTGTGTTCTTCACCTGTTGCCGTACAGGGCTGATAGTGGCCATCCCATAGCACGAAGCAGCCGCTAGCACCACGAGCGCGGACGGCATTCTAAGCTTGCTGCCCATCAGCCGCGTTGGCCTTGACATCGTCATCATCGGCTCCGATGCACGCCGGTATACTGTAGAGATACACACGCAGAGAGGCTCCCTGACGTGTACGCCCGACTGGGGCACCGTCGTCTACTGTACCTTTGCGAATCTTGTTGTCCTACGATGAATGCCTCTTGTTCTTTTGGGCCCTGCTGCTAGCTGAGAGTGAGAGAGGCAAGCAAAGTGAAGGGCAACCACAGCAGTGACACGCGATACGCGCAACTGCTCCAGCTGGATGCGGCCTGATCTGCTGGTGATGCGGCCGAATGTGGCTAAGAGGGGGCTCCGCCAGAGTGAACTTCCTGTGGGCGACCCCTACTCTGTGATATACCCACGTACCCACAAGCGCATGCATGTGTAGACCAGTGGGTGTGATCAGTCTAGATATAGATCTGCTAGATCTGTCATGCTGTGATGCTGCGCAGGATACTCGTTAGCAGATAGGGTTGGTTAGTGCGAAAGCGACGATGACTGACTTTTGTAATTCTTCGACGGCCAAATGTTTTTCTGACATAGAGCAACAGCAGTGCAACGGCCTTTACAATTAGCAGACGTCCATACTCTGGAACAAACTGCATCATCAGTACAATTATATAGAAGTATTGGGTTTTCGAGTGCCGGTACCCGCCGTCCCATTGAGGGCGCGGCTGAACAGTTTTTCTTCTTATTGTCTTCACTTCACGTCAGTGCTCACAACACACACCTGTTTTTCATCAAAAAAAAAAATATGTGTCGTTTGCTCCAACCCGTGTCATCACACACAGGAGATTCAGAAGGGTTCCCCTCCCTGAGGCCCCCTACCCACCCCTCCTGCGGTGCTTGGCCTTCCATTCTTAATGCTGAAGAAGAGTGCAGCACTCTCTTCCCTCTGTGTACACACGAACTAGCGCGTTCCACCCAGGCCAGGCACGGAAGCGAGAGAAAAACTTACTTTGCAAGATTGTTTATAGCTCGCTTCGCTGGGCTTCGGACCGGGTTGGAAGAACGTAAAACATTGAAAAATTGAAAAATTATATGCTTACCAGCAAATACAAGTCGCTATTGTTTTATTACAGACGCGCGACACTGCTGTAGACTACAGAAGCCCTTGGAACGGACAGTTAAACAAAAATACACTGACGACTTGAACCCTAAACCTCACACAAAATAAAAAGCCACCTGCCTCCGTAACGCCCAACTACGTGCCCATACATGTGCATATATACCTGCGCGGCAAGATAGACAACCAACGGTGGGCCGTCTCCCAAGGACTTCGTCGCCCGGGCCAACAAACGATTAGGGCAACAAAAAACGTTTGACCGGCTCCCAAAACTTGCATCACCGCCGATGATGGGCGACAGGACACGTTCAGCCCATAACCTAGCCCGTGCTCCGTCAACAAGGTGCGAAGGCAAAACAGGGTCCTACCCCCATGCTCACTGATGAACAAGCTAAGCTGCGCACTAGGCTAAATCAGGGAAAGCCTAGTTAATACTGTAGAGCCCCGCGAAGCACCAGGGATGTAGGTAAAACAAGGTCCTCACCCCATGCAACAAGTTGCGTGCCGTAGCGTGCAAGTAGGCTAAACCAAGGGAAAGCATTATTTATCCCCTCGAAGCACCAGGGGCATCACCGCGGGCAGCTCCGGCGGCCTCGATCACCCGCTCGCACGTGGTCCACAAGGCCGAGGTCGCCGCCGGCTCGTCCTTCACAAGCTTCGGCAGTCCGGGGGCGCAGCCGACGAAGGGACCGAACACCTCGAATGGCAAGGGGCGTTTGAAAGGCATCCAGTAGGGCTGGTAATAGCCGCTCCCTGCGCCGTTTGACATAAAACAAAGAGCGGGAGGATGTAGACGGGAGGATTATTATGTATGTACCCGACAATACGTGAAATGTCAGCAGAAAATCTGCTGTACGTGGGGGGCGGGGGTCGGAAAGCGTACTCAGAGTTTGTGTGTGTGTTAGGGTAGATGCGAGGAGGAGGAGAAGTACGTGACCGCGCCGCTCGTGCATCGCCGGCAACCAAAACATGATCACGGTAATGGTCCTTCGTGACCTCCTAGCAGGTACAGATCCCACAAATGGGCGTCGCAAACCGAAAAAACAAAACAAAACAGACCCCCCCTAAAACATGGTCCGGTGAAAACCCAGCTTGCTACGTCCCGATTTTGTAGGGATGCGAGGTCAACGGTCTAACGACTACGGCATGTACGACCATGAGTACACCCCCCCCAAAACAAACATCCCGAATGCCTCCAGATAAAAACCATCTCTCAAGCCTCTGTCACCGGGGACCGTCGTCGCCAGAAATTAAGTTTTATATGAGGGAACAGAACAGGGAGGGGGTACGCAGACCGTATCCCTAACCCTAACCCTAACCGAACTTGCCCGATTGATTGCATGCTTTGTCCAACAAGATTACTCAAGAGTACACAGACCCTGCGAAGGGTACTGCTCACCGGAGACGGTCTCGAGCGGCAGCGCCGCCGCGCGGACGGATGTGTAGGAGCCCTGCTCCGAGGTGAGGAACAAGAACCTCATGAAGAGGTCGAACACCGGCATCACCAGTTTGGGCACGTTCCGCCAGATGTCGCTCCGGACGGCCCCGGGGTTAACCGCGACCGCGGTGGCGCTCGAGCCGGCGGCGGCGAATCTCTTCTTGAGCTCCTGGAATACAACAGTTAGCGCCCGTGCTTAAGAAACGTCAATTTGGGGTCGAGGCTCAATTTCCATTTCATCACCACCGTCGAGCGTCGGTCATTATTTAGGGTTTAGTGTAGGATCCACGGCTGGGGGTGTGTTTCGTGGTCGATATTTCTAGTTAATGTATGGTTTGGTTCTTGACCGCGGGCGTTAACTGTAGTCGCGAATTCGACGGAGGCAGGCGGTGAGTCTTCACAAGAGGGCCGACAACCAGCGACAAGTACAACAACGCCGACAGAGCTGAAAAGAGGGAATAGACCTCGATAGACAGACGGTTGGGAGATTGTACATTCATGAAAGGGATCTCCGTAAAAGAAACAGTACGCCGACAGTGAAAAGAGGGAATAATCGTCATCGACCGACGTTGGGAGATGAGATTGTACCTTCATGACCGGGATCTCCACACAAAAAACGATCATTTACCTGTCTTGATGAGATAAAGACTGCGTCACACACTACTTGACCCCGTGACCGAAGCAGCTGTGCCCTGTGGGTATCTATCTATCTATCTATCTATCTATCTTCAGGCCTGCTGTTGGACTCGAGGCCTCATCAGATCGATTTTGCTCTGTAGATGGAGAGGTGGTGGGTCCACAAGCTGGCCATGAACAATCCAGCCATACTCTCGAAATTCCGTACCTTGGCGAAGATAACCATTGCCAGCTTGCTGTCGGCGTATGTCGAACCTCTGCGCTTCGGGTGCCCCATCACGGCAGATTCCCAATCCGTGCCCCCACTGTGGTGCATCACAGAGCTGAGACACACCACGCTGTGCGAAGAAGAAACGGAGATGAGTGAACAAACACAAAAGAGGTTGGGGTCAGCCAGCCCGGGACTTCTTGTCAAATCTGTGGTTGATGGTTTACAGGTTTGCGGCAATAGTTCCAGCTGATGTGCATCACAACGTGTATACCGCACTGGCAAAGTGGCAAGTAAATGCGCGTGACAAGAGGAGAGTTGACCACTTGACAAGCCTCCACCCAGGTCAAGGGCCAAGCATGTTGGGATGGCCCGCTTGGAGGCACATCACTTGAAAATAGAGTTACACGAGAAGGAAAACTCAGTCCAGAGTGGGTGCCGTGAAAATATATCAGCGGCTACAGGGTGTCGTAGCGAAGTACCCAAGAGGCGAAAGACGAACGTCAAGAACACCGATCAGTGCACGGAATCACGCTTGAAGGGGCGACAGCACCCCCCAGAGTACGTACGAAACTGCCCGCGGAAAAAACTTCACAGGTCGATTTGGAAACACAAGATTTTAGAAAACATGCAAACAATGGAAGAAGGACTACCAATTCAAGATAATACCACAGCCGAAGGGCATGTGTTGCAGTCTTTGCCGTGAGTGGGAATAAAACCGGCTGGATGATGGGGCGTATTTTAAGTCTATTCGAAGCCCACACAATGAACGAAGATTCTCCAGGCAGGGCATGTGGATCGCGATCTCGCCCTCGCTAATCGATAACCAAACACTCAAAAAACAACCAATGATGTGCTCGTGTGCCCCTCCCCTGGTGCGCCCCACCCACAACACTCCGCGTTTCCGCACCGTGCAGCCGGGGTGGATTGGATGAGCGGCAAGAGCTCATTCGTGAGGCAAAAGTGCCCCACAAAGTTCACCCCGAAGACGAGGTCCAGGCCATCGGCGGTCACCCGGGGACCGTCGGTGATTCCAACCCCAGCTGTTTTTGCAAAGTGAGGGAGGGCGGGGGGCGGAGAGGGAGGAAGTGGGCGGCACGAAGCAGTGGGTGTGGTTTAGCAGTTGACTCTGCTTTCGGTGTACTTGAGACAAGGGGATGCTGCAACCTTCATGGATCGGTCTGTGTGAACACCCCAGATCGGAGCTCTGCGGTTGGGAGGCGATCGTAAGGTACGTACGTAGACGCGATGGTTACATGAACGGGATGATGGGAAAAAAAACTAATGATCATTATTCATTTTCGCTGATGTCCTCAAACGTTGAAACCCCTGAGTGTTGGTAAAAAGTCCTTGGCCGATATGGGCGACCTTTCACGAGAAGGGCGCGTTTGTGCTTAGCAGCATCGCGTCCATCGCACTTTCGTCGCCGTAAACGACGAGCCTTCTCCGCCGAGCACAGACGAAACCTTCCGGCCTGATGCAAGCACGACATCGCAAAATAAAAATACCACGTCTTCCCGCCTCCTATGACACTATGATTTTCACAAAAACAGGCAGAGATCGACGAACAGACAGAGGATAGCCTGGGCCAGTCATACCTGCCCGTGGATTTGACAACCGAAAACCGAGCCACAACCCACGGAAGGACAGAGAAC